TACCGTTTCCATGGAATGTTGATTAAGGGATTGACCGCACTTTTCTCTTCAAGATGTTGTTGCTTGGTTTGCTGAGAATGGCAAGACTCACTGAGGATGCCGAATACGATGCCGGCGAAACCTCTGGGAATGTACCAAGTTCACGGCCTGACTCTGGAAATGAGAATGCATACTATGGACTCCAAACAAGGAGCTTTCCCAAACATCTTCATGCTAATATGACCAAGTTGCGAAACCAAGGTAAAACAACTTCTTTATAACGAAACGAGTCCGTAAACATACAAAAAATCTCACCATCTTGGTATTTATACCTTAAATAGAATTACATTGAGCTTAAGTTTCTTTTAAGCATTTTGTGATGCGGATACCATAAAAAATGTATAGATGACAACATATTGGCTTTATTTATGAAATAATCTGTAAATGGCAATGTTATACCCATTATTGTCAATTTGTAGGCTATATTTTAATTTTTACTAGATTGCCTTACATTAAATGTATGTGAATTAAGAATATTCATATGAATATAATTTTACCAATGGAAATTCTCGGTCACTCAAATTAAAATTAATTTTCTATATTAAGAGCTTAAATTATTCATTGTCGACTCCGAACAAGGGGCTTTCCCAAAGATCTTCAGGCTATATGACCAAGTTGCGAAAGCAAGCTTAAACAATTTCTGCAATTCCACTAGTTTTTATCCATTTTCGAATAGTGTAATAACTTTAATATTGAACCAACTGAGATATACATATATACTTATAATTCATTGCATACAAACGTATTTCAGATGTGAGAATTTATGCATGATCAATTCCTTTTTGTAAGCCCGACGATACAAGGGGATATCTTCCTATGGCTTAAGTGGGTTATTGAGTGAAGTATTTTGTCAGAACCAGATATAATCGCTTAAAACGAAATGTTGTCTATTGTCTCTTTATAATATATATGCTTTTTACTCTTGCTAGTGCCATGGGAAATGTCAAGGTATGAATTCAAAGTATCCGCCAGCTACTATTTTGATTCCTTTGGTAAATACGGAATACAATCAAAGGGACAATGGGTGCTTATTTGAATTCTCTTTAATTTATCCCATCTAATAAATGACTGATGAGCGTAAAACTATTGCTTATATATGGTCTAATAATCCGCATTTTAGTTCTGTTATAACAAATGATAAAAATAGGATAGGACAAATTTACAATCGTAGCCTTTCGTACCGATTTATCAGCCAATAAACAAATTTATTCGAAGGTATGAAGACCAAGCTGGTGTGGCCTTTTGTATGGTCGCACTCTCCTTTCGTTGTATAGGGGTTGTTTGACCTTGTTTTTTCAATTTACCACGTCCACGGTTCAACTTTGGAAATTATCATTTAGAAAATGGACTTCGGACTAGGCGCGTTCCTCTAAGTCTTCCTAACAATATGACCATGTTACGAAAACAAGGTTAAACAACCTCTAAACAAATTTATTGCGTAAATAGTCATTAAATGAAGGACACTGTTATACTTTTTTGTTTTAGCAGTATCATAGTAGGAGAAGTTTATCTGTTTAGTTCTCACATATCGTTGTAGGCTTGAGATTGTTATGAAATGCCTCTCTGATCTGATTATTTCTGTCATATAGAAGATTAAATCTCATAGCATAATCACCATAGGTGAAGATTGGTGTTTTAGGGATTACTTCAAACTTAAAATCTCCAGTAAATCCCCAAAACAGCTGATCAAAATAATCTACTGTCGTCTACTGAGAAGATCATCCTATGAATCCCTTTTTACGCACTTTTATTCGAAAACTAGCCTGGTCTTAGGCAAGGAAGACACAGAGAGACAGGAGCTGTTAGGTAATGGTATATCTATACCTTATAAAGATTGAAATATAGGCGAAATGTATGTTTAATAAGGGCTAATTATATGTAAACGATTGAATGCTAACTTGACAATTAACCAGTCATATGAATATCTTATCTCACCCATAAGTCCAAACATTCTCATTGTATTAGCTTTGCAAATAGGCTGATTTCTGCAGATAACCACTTATGGTGGCTGAGTTTTGATTGGTCGAACTCCCTAAAATTTAACAATAAAAGGAAAATGTAGGCGATTAGATCTTTGACTAAGTTCTTTTTCATCCTTAATGCATCGCTAATGATGAGAAGCTCAACTGTTCTGTTAACGCTAAAGATTCTGCTGCAAGCATTGCCCTTCTTGGCTGATACTTTAGAGACAATTCACCATTTTAGTCTATTAGAAGAAGAAAATACACGATGTCAACTAGAGACAACATCTTTCAGCAATCAGTCCCCTACATGGTACCACAGCAGTGTAGATAGCCAAGGGCGGTATACATTTTCATGGCGGGTAGAATATGACGACAGCGAAATTTCTAGTGATGCAATCCGCGGTCACGAACAATATCCAGAAGACTGGGAATCGAGAGACTTTCGTAGGGCTAGGAAGGCTCGATCTAATAACAGTGAATCAAGATGGTATAGAGAATCATCTGTTGAGGTGGGAAATAGGAAAAGAAATAGAATGAATCCTCGTCTATTCACTTCAGCATGCCTCAAATTTGATGAAGATAATGAGAAGCCTCTTATTTTTGGAATAGGGTTTGGTCCATCCGATGAACCCGTGAATTCAGATCTTGTTATGCTGACTAAATCTTCACACTGGAAAGGATCTCGTCAGACTCTAGGACATCCCACTGCCCGTGAGCGTATTAAAATAAAAAAACATGTGGCAATAAAGCATGCATCTGTTGATGAATTTAATCCTTCATTTGATTCTTCCGCTGTTAATGAGTGGATACTAATGGTAAACCTATTTTATATTCTTTAAATAGTGTTAAGGTTTTGTGGAATATTGGCTAGAAAGTTGGCTGATATTAATATGTGTAATACTATTACTTGTATTAGAGTATGAGTAATAAAATATTTATTAGGTTTACATTATTGCAAATATCTACTCATTAAAAAAAATTGCTTGAGATTATATTGTAAATTAACTTTATACTATAGTCCACAGATTTAGCTAAATTTTGTGGATATGAAAATTTTGGTTGATAAATTTAAATTTAAGTATTCAAACTTTTAGTGAATCTCTTTTAATAGATTTGGTTCATCAGTGGTTGAATATTCCTTATGGTAGCATAAGTATATATTCTTATATAAAATATCTGCATTCTATAATAAAATATTTATTAGGTTTACATTATTGCAAAGATAAACTAAATATAAAAATTTGCTTGAGACTATATTTGTAAATTAACTTTATACTATAGTCCACAGGTTTAGCTAAATTTTAGTATTCAAACTTTAAGTGAATCTCTATTATTAGATGCGGTTCATCCGTAGTTGAATATTCCTTATGGTAGTATAACTATATATTTTTATCTAAAATATCTGCATTTGATCCTTTAAACCACATATGTATGATAGGGGCTACTAGCATATGCGAAATGCTGTAATACCTCTTGAATCAAGTCCAAATATTTAGATATTCTAAACCCTAAATTTGGGCCCTAAGCTGAAGCTTGATTTAGCATGCATCACTAGTTTTAGTTCTTATGGCAATTCCAATAAAATAAATAGGGCTTGATTCTAAAAGTAGTTAGTTCCTAAATCTAGATGATAAAACAGTGAGTTACGTTTGAGAGTCTGTTAAAAAATAGGATTTGTTTCTGATTTTTAGACAAAACGAGATTTCTATAATGAATACGGTAAATAAGAAGAATACTGAATTGTTATAAATTATTGTTTTGAATGAGATATCCTGACAGCGTTATACAACCCTCCTTAGCTTCGGTAGAATTGCTCCAAATACATTTAAGACAAATGCTATATGAAAATAAAAAGGAAATATTTAAATAGGAAAAAACGCAATTATCTCATGTTAACTTAATTATTCTCGCCATAGTGATGGATGGATGAATGGCATAGTGGAAGCCATGTCAAATGGTAAAGTTAATTTTTGAATATACAATGATTGTGATATTTGTACAGTTTATTGTAATTATTCTTGTCAGGACTTCTGCCAATTACCTTATGAAGAGTGGGTGATGCTAGTCGGCTCCTGAAGACGATTTGGAATCCACATATGCTAGCGGCATAATAGCCATACCCCGAAATGCATTGCCTTGTAAAATCCTTTAGATTTTTTTAAATCTCCATGTCTACATAGACCTCTGAGCATACATTAAAAATGGAGACTAAATTTTGCTGGCGTATTTAATTCTTAAAGGCTTTACTTTCACATTTATTTGAACAGGAGGGACGTACGGATGAGAAAGGTGTCATCCAACTGGTGAGGCATGTTGATAAAAGTGAAAGTCTCCTGACATGTAGTTACAGTGGCCCAACTCAGGAATCAATTGGCCAGTTTATTGAAGGAAACATTATGAACGACAAGCTATGGGAATCACAAAGATCTAGTGAAGTCATGGAAGAAGAGAAGGAAGAAAGGTTTAGGTGGAGTGCGAAAGGAGGTAAGGCCTCAAGAATGCAGAAAATATGGTCGCATGAGCTCTGTTTTAACTACACACGCATGGCCAGTTTGTGTCGGCCTAGAAGCTATGAGATTGACGTAAGTTGTCTAAATTTACAATTCCCACAAATTGCATTATATAAGCTTTTACATTAAATACCACGATGATTGGGGTTTTCCAACTGGAACATCATGCTGGATATTCACTAGGATGAATTAAACAAGTGAAATACAAATTAATCAGTCATCTACTAAGGCTCATGGTATTTAGGCCAAATGAGAAGTATTGACGTTATTAGAACTCGTCCTCCAGATGCCGTTTCTGTGGATCGCATCTTCGATCGAGCCCAAGTTTATGAGGAGTAAAAGAGGAATATAAGGCAGAAAGTCGCAACTTATGGAGAAAAGTAGTTGATCTAATTAGATTTGTGACCTCTTTAGACTAAATCATTTTTAAGGCACATCCAAATTCATTAAAATATCGGCTTAAGTAAGCCTATCTAAACATCGTGACTATTGCAGGAATCAGTGTTTAAGTTACCCACATTCTTATACAACTTTAAAAATATTTCGCTCTGCTTTGTTTAAAGGCATTTTTTTGCTTGAACAGGAACAGACATCTCATATATTCTTCTTGTCGAGCTTCCAATCCCTATTATCTCAACATGAAATCGGGGATCACTCATTTAGGCCGGATTATCTGCTTTCTGGAAAGAAAACTGTGTTTGATGTGGATCCGAACTTTCAACTTTTGCGCGTCCAACTGCTCAAAAGCACTTGGCCCATACCCCAAATAGTTGAATCTGATGATGTAAAAGTGTTTGAAATGCTTGTTAAAAACGTGAGTCAAAAGCAATCTGTGATTATGTTTTTTCTGAAAAAAAGCTTCAAACTTAGAGTTGTTTTTATCAATCAACGATATAGACTATTGGCAAATATATCTAGAATAGTAGATGTTTGACCATTCTTTTGCAATTTGGTCATATTGGCAGAAGGACCCAGAGGAACGCACCTTGTCCGGAGTCCATAGTGTGCATGATACTTGTCAGAGTCGGACCGGGGACTTGGTACATTCCCAGACGTTTCGCCGGCATCGCCAGTTTGCCTTGTCAGTCTTATCATCACACTACAAATTGTCAAGGAGACAAATGAAGTCGATCATTTGTCGATTGTTTGCAAAACGGTTGTGGTATCTCTCCTTCTGTTCTGGGTTATTTACCTATCCTTTATCCTCGTACCACCCCTTCAATATTACAATTTATTAATTTCTTATTTAAATGTGGGGTGGTATGTCATTTTGAGCGAATTTCAGGAGACCTTTTTGTATCCCAGGCTGGCTTTCCCCAACATACTTCTGCTCACCGTTGCGCATTTGATTCGATAAACTCTCGAACATTCCAGTTTGTCAACCTTCTCGTGTCACGTCGACAGGTTGGTGAAAAGTGTTATCCTTTCCTATGTTATCACCTTGATGTTCTAACATTGTAACTTATAGCTCAGTTCAGGCAGGCATATCCACTTTTAGTCGACCTCTCGACCCCTGATTTTATCTTGAATAATGTCCAAGTTGAAATCTGCTCCTTAGGACCCCTATATTTCTCACTATGCATTCTCCGATCTACCTAGTACTAAGGAAAATCCAAGTTAGTCTGTTCGACTTTTCATCCCATAACTACAAGTCCGTTAGGCTGATGAACAAACTTCTCAGTATTTTGATCTTCCGTCTACAGTTGTGATGAGACTGGAAATTCAGAATTATTCCCGCGTGCGATTTCTTTCTAAATATTCTCCTCATCACTGTCCTGTTATAGCGCATAATCTCAGCATCCAAGAAGGCTAGTCGTTTATCCTTCACCTCCAATTTGAATTTAATTCTTCCGTCAAGTCGGCTTAGATAATTAAGAAACCCATTCCGAATTTCCCTTACCATGCGACCAATGGCAAAGTATTCATCTACTTATTGCCTAAACGCTCTTAATCGCAGCGGTGAATTCTCAAATTCCTTCTCCAATTTGTCCATGTATACATTTGGTATGTAGAAAAACTGGGTTTCGAAGAATTCCTTAGTAGATTGATGTTGGAGTACCTTTCATTCCATTGAAAGAGGTGAGTGGAAGAGATTCGTACGTTGGTTCCACCGAAGGTTGTAGGTGGGTTGCCTTGGAGTTGCGGTTGTAGATTTGTGCGAATAGGTCCTTGGCGTACATAACGGACGAAAGCTTAGCAAGGATTCGTCGGGGTCGCAGAGCGATGCCTCGAGAACCTATTTGCACAAATCTACAACCGCAGCTCCAATGCAATTCACCATAGCCGTCGGGGGAACCAACTTACGAATTCCTTTCCCTCACTTCTTCAAACAAAATGAAATGTGCTCTAACCTGTATTCATGTGCCAAAAGGGGAGAGTGGATATCAAATCGGCAATCCAAATATTTGCTCTAAGATATTCCCGTTTAATGTAAAATATGTTGTACTTACTGTCAAGTTGATTAATCATGTCAACATATCGTTCCGTATCCGCTTTCCTTCTAGGATATCTTCCTCTCGTTCTAAGACCTCCAGCAGGGCGGTAACTACCTTCTCACTTGAGACATTTGTGCACATTAATTGTACGTCAAAACTTTCCAACATTTCTGTCCTTGCAAGTCCAATGTTTTGGATCCTTTGAGAAAATTCATATGAATTCTTCATGGTGTTCAAGAGTCTACCATGAACTTTATTAAGCTTTAACCATATAAATTTCGCTATTATGTGTGTTGCTACATGCTTGTTGTTGACACTTTACATTTTTTGTGTATCTTCAGTAATCCGTGGGCTGTCGCTGGTCCTGCGTCCATTTTAATTAAAGAGATCACCTTCCATCTGTCGATTTCTCCATTGTTATGCATTTCTATTGGCATATCCTTCAGTATTCCATTGATCTTCATTGTTGTATCATGTCTGAGTATTTAACAAGTGTTCCAGTCACCTAGGATACTTTCCATTTTGACAGTGTATTGTTGCCTGCCTATTATTATCGTCGCTTTTCCTTTATCCACCTGAATAAGTATTTGGTCATTCATTTGTAATTTTCTCAGTATCTTAATCTATCCATTCTTTATATTGGCTCTTAATAGGCCAGGATTCCCAGAATCCTTTACCTTTCCATCTCTTGTTTGATCAATTCTCGGTATTTCTCCGAGATGTGTATAACCTCTATGAGAATATCTCCTGAAATCTTTCCCATATTGTCTAAGGAAAGGTTTAACGCCTTTTTTAGAAGATTCATAGTTTCAGAATT